AACTTTTACCATACAAATGGTACGACTGAATGCAGTCTTTCATATTCATGTGAAAAATATGGAAATTGAATTGTCTTTTTAAAATAAATTTACATATACTGTTTGGCTTTAAATATTTTTATTAGAATATGCGTTTTGATAAAGTTTTCCTTGGTTTTGCTCTTGAATTTTCTGTTGTAAAGCAGAGTTACAAACATAAACCATTAAAAATGTTTATCCTTATGAATCTCTTTTAGATTTGCCCCTTTTTCAGGTTTGTCCTTTATTTTTTTTCCAAGGAGATATGGTTACCATAATTATAAGCAATACTGTATTTGCACTTGTGAATGATGGGATTCTTTCCATCTTAACAAAAAAAACCTTGAGGTTTCTCAAATAGAAGACAGCAGAGTCTTTTACTGGGGAAAGAATGGGCTGAGGAGGGAACTTTCTCTCTGCCACTTCCTTCCCCACCCTTTTCCCCTTTATGCTAACAAGAACATCCCAGAAACAAATCTCCACTCCAATGTGCTTCTAAAGTTAGAGCATTTGTTGGGATCCATGACATAATTTACAGACCAATAAGATTGTATTTATTATATATTTGGTATTATTTCTTTCTTCCTTGAAGTTCAGCATAGCATAAAAAGAGTCTTTCATTTTCTTTTGACAAGAAACTTGTTTGATAGGTTTGGGACTAGTTCAGGTTCCTCCAGGAAGTTTCATAGCTGATTTTTGAATCTGCTTCTCATCAAACTTAGCTAGTAGCAGAATTTGCAAAGTATCTCCCAATAAAGATACAGAATTATATATGGAAATACACTGTCTTTTAGATAGCCTGGTCCCATTTATCAAGGACTAGCAGGAGCTAGTTAAGTTGGTCTAAAAGGCCCATCATGTATAGAAGGTATAATTCACATCTGCGGCTATGTGTTGTATCAGCTGAATGAATCCCGTTCAGGTATATGTAAACCATGTCTGTGACACACTTGTGAATAGGTGTGATGAGTTCATCACTCTTAGCTGAGCAAAGATACTTGGCTACAGCTGCAACTTGAAATTTAGGAACAAAACAGATCCAAAATGCCTTCTTATTTCAAATTTGATTCTCTAAGAAGCAAAAACTATCCCTTCCAAAATAAACAGAGGTCCTATCACTAGCTCAGTTTTTATCGTGAAAAAGAACTTTCCATCTTTTCAGGATTGCATAGTTTGTTATCCCACATCCATCCCATTATTGATGTCAACCTGCAGTTCAGAAACTCAGTAACTTCTCCAAATCAAGAAGGGAAAGGAAAATGGGTCCATTCACCCACATCTCGATATGGCAAAAGCCTCGAGATCTCAGGATGATCACCTGATACATCATTTTCCCTCAAAGAAGGATTTGGTAGCCACAAATGTTCTGGAACCTTGAACCTTTGTGTGGTTTTATTTTATATATATTTTAGTACCTTTGGTACATCTTTTGTGGTTAGACCATCTGAGTGCCGTAGACACTTAAGGTAAATATAAGCCAGCAAGCTGAGGGCCTGTAACTTCTGAGTTTTTCGAGGGCCAGTCACTTCTTTTAACTTGTTAGTGAAATTAAACAATAATATTTTGTTTGTATTTACAGAGATAAGTTCCATCGTTTGAGTGAGGATATCAGTAGAGTTTACCTGACACTAGAGTTTGGTGGATAACTCATGGGGAGATAATTGTGTAAGACTGTATTGAAGTAGACTAATTTATGAGAATTGGTTTGAGAAGTGAAAGCTAAACAAACTGCATTTATTTTACCAGTTGTTCTCTCCCTCTCCCTCTCCTCCTACCCCTACCCCACCCTTCATCTCCTAGGTGGTGGCCAGCTGAGATCTGCAATCCCAGATCTGTTCCTCTCAACATACAGGGCCTCAAGCATGACATCGGAGACTTCCCGGTATTTTTCTTTGGTTCACATGACTACTATTGGGTGCATCAGGGGAGAGTATTCCCATATGTTGAAGGAGATAAAAGCTTTGCTGAAGGGCAAACTAATATTAACAAGACCTTCAAAAAAGGTAAAATTCAATTTCTACTAGTTTCATGACTAAGGCTCCACATTTTTCTGTCTCCATCATCCCTGAATATGGAAATGGTGTCTTATGTCTTGTGTGAAATTCCACTTAATTCCATGGAACATCATTTAAAACATTTCTATTCTGCATGTCTGACTATAAATAATATCATTTCTGGAAGGACTTTCTACTTCATCTGAAAGTTACAAAGTGATTTGACCATTTCTGCAACTTTTAAATTGTTTGTAGAAGTACCGATTTAAGAAAAGAAAAGAAAAAGTATTTTTATTCAGAAGTCATGACAGGGGAAAATGTGTGGGGTAGACATAATTGCAGAAAAGCCATTCACCCTTCTTTCGTCCACATTTATTTTAAATCACTACTTCTACAAACAATTTAAAAGTTGCAGAAATGGTCAAATCACTTTGTTACTTTCATGCAAAGAACAAATATTCTTTCCTTTTGAAGCTGATGAATGCAATGTTATGTAGAGCTAGCCAGTTTAATTAAAATTGAAAACTGATATAAGATTAAAGAACAAATACTCAGTTTCCACTGAGCCATGTTAATCTGTTGCAGACTAACAGAAGTCTTGGGACTCCTTATGGACCCAGACAATTTTTAGGACAAGTTTTCATGCCTTAGGAATGAATAACTCATCTCACAAAAAGTAACGCTAGAATCAAGTTGACCCAAGGCCTTAATATGTCACTAAACTCATTATTTTTAATTAGATGGCAACCCTAGGTACTACATGATTGTTTAAATGAGTTTTGGTCTTCGCTATCTATGGATAGTCGCTAATGCTAGCTTTTTCTCTGATTTTGGGGCTCTCATACAGCACTTGAAGAAGCAGCGAAACGCTTCCAGGAACTGAAAGCACAAAGAGAAAGTAAAGAAGCACTTGAGATTGAGAGGAGTTCCAGAAAACCCCCTCCCTATAAACACATTAAAGTGAGTCCCTTGTATTTTTCAGGTGTGTGCATGTGTGGGTGTGAAGCATATATGTGGATTTTAAGCAAGTTACTTCTTAAATGTGAGAATATTTTATTTTTCTATATGTGTAGATAAAATGTTAGCCTGTTTGTTTGGAAAAGTCTGGATCTGCTTTGAAACTGGAAGTTACTATCATGAGCTTCCTTTTTCTCATCTTAAGACTTACCACGGAGTCCTCTACTTTCATAATAAAATCTCTGGTTCTCCTTACAAAAGTTGTCATCGAAAGGTAAATGTCCAACGTTGATTTGGTGGTTTGGCTGTGCAAAAGAAGTTTCATAGGCATATAAGAAGACAGCTTATGTATCAGATTGGATTAGCCTAACTAGAAGCAGTGTTCTGGCAAAAATATTTTTCCATTACATGATTCTGTTAATAAGCAGTAAAAGGGATTCACCTGAAACATGTTGGGTGTAAAGAGCAGATGCTTTATTATCGAGGTGTGGTCTGTCTCCAAAATGAAAAGCATTGGCTTAACATTGCTTTAATTCGTTAAATGTTAGCTGCCTTCCAGAAAAAGTCGAAAACAGAGCTTTTCCAGAGAGCTTTTCGTCCTGATGCTATGTATTGTGTTAGGGTTTTTAATTGTATTTATGTTCTTATGTACTGCTACTGTGTTTGCTAATTTTTATGAGCTGTTGAGAGTCTTTATGAATATAAAATTGATTTATCAATAGATGTGATGGAATGGAATTATGAAGGCCAAGCTCAGGGAGATAAGCATTTTCTTAGCTC